TAAAAGGGTAAGAAGGACCCCAGAAAAATATACACTAAACAAATCAGAAGAGACCTGAAACCAGGTGAGAAAAAAGGGGGAAAAATTATATGATGAGGTTGGTGAACAGAAAAGAGCCACACACTAGATTTTGGGTGTATTTTGGTCTCTTAGAAAAAACGGCCTCCCAATATCTTAAAGAAAAAAAAAATATATATATATATGGGTAAATGTGAAAGGATGGAATATGAATGTAAAGATGAAAATTTAAAAAGATTTTAAACAAGGAATTGTTAAGAAATTGGTTGAAAAAAGACAATAATTTAAAAACAAGAATATGATCAGGCTGGAGACTAGAACAAAGCCATACACTAGATTTAGGGTATATTTTGGTCTGTTAGAAGATACTGTATCCCAAAATTTTAAAGAAAGAAAAACATATATATGCAAAAAAATAAGTTTAAATACAATGAATGCATAGAATATGACTATAAAAATGAAAATTAAAAAAGATTTATAAAAGGTATTGGGGTGCCTGGGTGGCTCAGTGGGTTAAAGCCTCTGCTTTCGGCTCAGGTCATGATCCCAGGGTCCTGGGATTGAGCCCCATATCAGGCTCTCTGCTTCCTTCTCTCTCTCCCTGCCTGCCTCTCTTGCCTACTTGTAATCTCTGTCAAATAAATAAATAAAATCTTAAAAAAAAAAAAAAGGTATTGGTAAGATGGTTAAAACAGGAGAGAGGAAAAATTAAAAAATAGAAAAAAATAATGAAAATTAAAAAAATTTAACTTTGAAAGATTAAAGAATCATGGGGGAAACAAGCCATGAATAGTATGTGCTGTATTCCCCTAGCTCTGGAGTTCTGAGGTTCTCATTGATCGATGAACTTGGTCTTGGCTGGATGTTCTTGCTGATCTTCTGTGGGAGGGGCCTGTTGCCATGATTCTCAAATGTCTTTGCTCAAGGTGGAATTGCACCGCCCTTGCCAGGGGCCAGGCCAAGTAATCTGCTTGGGTTCACTCTCGAGAACGTTTGTTCCCTAAACACTTTCTGCATAGCTTTGGAGGACGGGAATGAAGATGGCGGCCTCCCAATCTCCAGCCCGGGGAGCCAAGAGCTCAGGGCCCCACTCCTCAGTGCGCCCTCAGAGAAAAGCAGTCAATCCCTCCCTTCTGGTCTCTGGCCATGCTTCGCTCTCACCTGGCCTGTGACCGAGAGTTTCTCTGTGTGGCACATGGCCTCATTTGGAGTCTCCAAACCCAGCAGATTTCTGCTGTGTGCTCCTGTGCCACTTCTGGAGGAGGAAAGAGGGGGTCTTCCCAGATCTGCCACTTGTGGGGTCCCTGCTTGAATAGCAGTGGCCTGATATGCTTTGGATCACAGTTTAAGGTAAGCCCAAGCTGAGAGCCCCCTTCTCGGCTCCTTCTCTGCAGCCAGGTTCCCTGCTCCAATACCTGGGAACTCTGCCACAGTCATACACCACCAGTCTGTGACCCCAAGGGTCCCGAGACCACGCGGTCCTTGTGAGGGTTCCACCCCTCGCTTAGCTGCCAGAGCAACATCCCTCAGTGAAGCAGACTTCTAAAAGTTCTGATTTTATGCTCCTCTGCTCTCTTACTTGCCTGGGGCCGCCCCCTCCCCCCATGGTGTATTTTCCCATATATCACCTCGGATTCACTTCTCTGCACGTCCTGCCTTCCAGAAAGTGGTCACTTTTCTGTTCATAGAATTGCTGCTGTTATTCTCTTTGATCTCCTGTTGAGTGGTTTGATAACTATCTAGCTGAATTCCTGGTACCAGATGAAATTTAGGTCTCCTCCTCTTCTGCCATCTTGCCCCTCCCTCACTGATCCACTCTTCTGCATCCTCTCATCTGTTGGTTCCTTTTAGTGTATTTTTCATTTTATTTTATTCAACTGTGATTGGTTCTTTTAAATATTCTTTTTGTTGAAGTTGTGAATACATCCACTCTTCTCTCCAGTCCAGTGAGCATCTTTATGAAAATTACTTTGAACTTCAATCCGGTAGATCGGTTCTCTTTAATTTTCTTCCCCTGTGATTTCATCTTCCTCTTTCGAGTGAAGCATATTCCTCTCATTTTCCTTGACTTTGCATTTCTCTGAATTAGTTAGAGTAGCTACTTCTCCTAAATTTGAAGAAATGGCCTTGCATGTGGTTGTCCCCTTATATAGACTGTGTGTGCCTGGCAATTTATCTGCCTAGACTTAAGAGTGGCATGGGCTGGTTCCTGGGGCACTCCATGAGGGGCTTGCCCGTGGTGGGATGCTGAAGCTAACTGGGATTGGGGTGGTTGGTCCTGTGAGTCTCCAGACAATACCCTGGCAGTATAGCTAAAGCTGATGTTGGCACAGGCCACTGCAGTCCTGGGCCTCTCCAGAGGAGCACGCTGGCCAGACAGTGAGTACACACCGGGGTGTCCTGTGCACCACACTGACTGCCTTGTGCTGGTGGGTTTAAGAGTTCAGGGGCTCACTGACAGTAGACTGGTTACAGTGCCTGGACCACCTCCCATCTGTGATATCAAGGCAGAGTGTGAATATGAATGGTAGTGATCACCAGTCCCTCCAACCCAGGGTTCCAACAGCTCCCTTCCATTTGGTAGAGTTACAGTGCTGTAATTTTTACATTCTTGTTGCCCCCTTTTTTTTTTTAAAGATTTTATTTATTTCACAGAGATCACAAGTCAGACAGAGATCACAAGGAGGCAGAGAGGCAGGCAGAGAGAAGAGGAGGAAGCAGGCCCCCCTGCTGAACAGAGAGCCCGATGTGGGGCATGATCCCAGGAGCCTGGGATCATGACCTGAGCCGAAGGCAGAAGCTTTAACCCACTGAGCCACCAGGCACCCCCTTGTTGCCCTTTTAAATGGCAGTTTTCTGTGCTCTCAGGCAGCCAGATCTGTTCAGTCTTTCAGTAGTATTCCACCCAGCCCAACAGTGTCAGGATTGGAGTTTCCCTTTGGTATGGTCTTGTCCCTCTTACCATTCTTCATGTGGTCTATCTGGTTGTACAGCTGTCCAGTTAGCCGTGTTCAGGAGAAACTGCTCTGTAGTATGTAGATTTGGTTATGTCCGTGGAAGGGAGTTAAGGGTCTATCTTGCCATCTTGGACCCTCTCTCCCTAACCTGCTGAATATTTAAGTATCAGCTAAAGTCAACTGACAGTTCAATCTTCTTCATCTACTAGTCAAACTAGTGCTAGACCCAGTCACCGAGGATGCAGATTTTTGTCCTTGGGTCCCTTGTTATTCAAACTGTGGCCTGTGAATAAGCAGCATAGCCATGACTTAAGAGACTATATCCAACAGATTCCTCTAGAATCAGAATCTGCATGTTAGGATGCGTGGTGAAGTTCTGAGGAATATGTGAAATGAAGCAGAAATGCAGACTCAGAGATTGTGTCCAGAGTCCCTTTTGGTCCCAGACTCTTCATTTGCATCACGCTGGCCCAGCTCCTTCCAATCCTCCCCTCCATGTAACACTTGTCTCTCGAGAGAGACCTTCCTAGGGCAGTCGTACTCCACCCTCCTTGGATTCTTGCATGTCACTGCCATCACCGTGATTACCACACCACTGTTTGCCCCAGGGCCTGTTCCTTTCCCCTCTCGTCTTCAAGAGACCATGTCTTTGTCTCTGTATCCTCAGTCTGGCACATCATTACCTGGCATGCAATAGGCCTGCAACTTAATGCCCCCCCCCGCCCCCAGCCATTTGAGTAGAAAAGAGCCAGGAATTGGGTAGGTCAGCTAAGGTCACACAGCCGTTAGTGGGCTGAGCCATACCCATGTGTATGTATCATTTTTATTCTTCTCAAAACCCACTGCCCCATTTGGGATATCTCCATTCATGTTTCATGTTCTGAGTAGTTTGTTTTTATCGAAGCTCTTTAGAGCAGAACTTTCATCTGTGTTACAGTTCAAAGACACAAAAAATACAAATAACAATTCCATAAGTACCAAAACTGACAATAGAAAACCTGCTCACATGGGGCCAGCTGAAGTGACGCTCTAGCCGCAGCCCATGACATTGCTCTAGTATCACAGCATTTGTGCAAGTGTCCCACTCTTAAGACAGAGCAGAAAGGAAAATCAAAGCCCCAGAATGTTTGTTTTAATTAACAGCTTCAAGAAACATTTTCTTTAGTTGCAAAGATTTCTAAAACAAAGATCTTTCATCACTAAGATCTTAGTGGCAGAGACCCCAGTGGGGTGTAGAGGCTGCCAATGGGTCAGCGAGGCCCATCTGGCCAGTCAAGGCCACTTGGAGCATTCATGCTCTCTCCAGACAGCTGGTCTGGGCCCGCTGGGCTGCATCTCACTCATCCTGGCTTCCACCAACACTAGGAAAACCAAGAATGTCTGCTTTGGCCTTTCTACGGATAAAAGTAAAAAACTGGCTTAAACCACAGATCATATAGGAAGCATACCTTTATCAACAGAGGAAAAAGTAGCTCACATTATGACAATCATACCAACACAATGATAGGAGAAAATATTTCACACTAGTCAAAGAATGCTGACATAAATCTGGTTTGAAGCTTTAAATAAGTTCCAAGTTTTTATATTTCACAATTTATATTTTATTAGAGTCCACAGTCTGCTAAATAAAAGCAGTAACGAGATATTTCACAAACTATTGTACAATTTAAATCATAAGAATTTCATAAAAAATTAGGTGCATATTCATAGTGGCTAACTTAAAAAGCTGTTTCATCTATGGTCTAAAATACTTTATAAGAGATTTAGTTCCAGCACTAAAAATAATCCATTGGTATATATATTTTTTACATGTTTTACAACATAAAGTTTGTGCTCTTAATCAAAAAGATCCACAGACTAATTCAGCATGTAAAAAATAATTTTACAAAACATCAAGTCAACCTTTCAAATCCACTTTTATTTTCTTTTTTCCTCCTCACATACAGACCTTCTCCCCACACATTTCTTGCAGCTATAGTGTCACTTGATGTTCAGGTACCATTTTATCCCTAAAACTTTGCTGGCATCAAAATATGACAGTTAACCAGTGTTAAATCTATAAAATATTTACATAGCACAGCACATTAAGCTTTAGACACTTGGCAATTAAACCACATAAAAATACGGTAAGACCCCCATACTACATGTTCGGAATTGGTGTTCACGGTCCCTTTCTGGTGACTGTACACTGGTTCAAAAGGCAGCAGAGGCAACAGGCAGTTACGTGAGGACACTGAACACTATGATCTGGAAGCACATTATGATGTTACCCCAGTGTCATGTACCACCCCATCTTTCTCCAAGGTGGTCTCGTAATTCTAGAATGGCAGGTCCAGCTGATACAAAATGAAGACAGACAACAAAACATTTACTCTGTGGAGACAGCCTAACTCCTACTATGCACGTGCTGTGACTTTGAACACAACTCGTCCTAAAAACTTGTCACGATCATCCTGGTTTTTTAGGTTGGGTGATCCATCAATCTTGCACTCGACTGTTACTTCATTTACGGTACTGCTGGTAGCATTAAAGGAGACCTGGACAGCAACTAATGGCTGCAGATAACTCACCTGGCAAATAAAAGAAAATACGTGAATTCCAATTCTATAGTAACTTCACTTACACTTTATCAGGAGTTGGTTTATTCTGTAAAATTTTAAAAACAAGTTTTAATCTATTACATTTTTTTTTCTTTTGAACTGGACACTCATTTTTCACTTAAATTTTTATGGACAGAAGTGACTAGATGGTTATGAATGTTCCTGTGAGCACTGCATAATCTAGATTGGGTCTCATTATCATTTTTTAAATACTCTGTAATCTTGGTTCGAGTTTCCCCTTGCACCCAAGGACTACCTTACTGATTACTTAGCTCTCCTAGATCCTTACTTATGGTTGCTGTGTAATTTGATGCAAACAGATTACTAAATGTATTATTATGGCTGTGGTTTCTAGACACATTTCTTCACTAAAAGTAACTAGGGGGCTAATTCCAGGACTGGGGCAGAGAATGTACAAGATGAATATGGAATATCCTGTAGTGCCAGCAAGTAAGAGGGTGCTCAAAGAATCCTGGTCCTATGTCCAAAGGACATGGGAGCTAGCCTGAAGGTCTCTCATTGGCCAAATCTGGTACAACTTTAGCTTCAAAATAAACAGAACAGATAATAAGAGTCCATGAGAATATATGGATGTAAATAAATAAATGGTGGAAAAGGCAAAGCTCTTTCTCAGAGCTGAATGCCAACTAGTAAATGGAGGAAAGATGGCATTAGAAAAACATCTGGAAACAATCCTATTAGCTGATTCAGGCAAGAATTAACAAAGGCTTAAAGCTAGGGGAGAAACAGAATTATGCAGACTCTCCAATTATTCTCTCCACATGATACTTGCTGATTACAAAAGAAAAAAAGTAACTTGACAGCAGAGAAACCTGGCTGATACCATCTGAACCCAGTAAGTGTTCAAGGTTGCCATCACCACTAATAATGCGACCCAGTCATGCTATGTCTCTCCTAATAGGATGTTCTGAAAACACAGTATTTTTTCTGAGGCCTTCTTGCTAAAAAAGTACAATCTACATTTAATCATGAAAAACCTCAAATTCAAATTGAGGAACAGACACGAAATAGGCTAAGAAAAGTCCAAAACTCATTTTTGAAGAGTACAAGGGCACAAAACAGACTGAGGAACTGTTCCAGGTTATAAGTGACTAAAGATGTAACAATGTGATAGCCTGAACCAGGAAAACCACCTTTTCTTTTACAAGAAAGAATGTTACTGGAACAACTGGTAAAATTTCAACAAGGTCTGTAGACTGGACGATGGTATTGTATCAATGTTAATTTCCTTTGATAACTATTATGGTTATAAAGAATGTCCTTATTTTAGGAAAATAAGCATTTAGTGTGAAGAGTCACCATGTTTATAACTTAATCCCAAATGGTTCAGGAAAAGAAATTATACACAAATGGAGACTGATAAGACAAAGGAGGTAAAATACTAACATTTGGGAAATCTAGGGAAAAGGTCTACAGAAATCCTTTGTACTGTGCTAGCCACTTTATTTTTTCACTTCTGTGCACACTCTATGCACATTCTAAAGAAAGAGAAAATGCTATTTTGAAAATAATCATCCTTTAAGTTTTGAACTATAGATGTGGGATCTCTACTTGGCATTACCATTTATATTTAAAAGACCAGACTAGAGGATGCATGAGTTACACAGGGCATGTGTCTGCCTACCCTAGATAAGTGACATTTTAATACAGATATGCCAATTCCCCAACCATAAGTCATGACCTTACAAACCTTGAAGTACTTACATGAAGTTTTTTCCCATAATATGGAAAATATTTTAAATCTATAGTTCCTTTGGGTGGATAAGTTGATAGAGCTGCTGTGTTTTCACTCTAAAGTAGAAAACAAGAGAAACCTCTTTTTAGGTCATAAAAACAACTTAAAAATATATATTAAGGCAATATCAATTATGAACAGTATGGTATTCTACAATGATGTTCCAACTTCATTAATTATATTTTTGAGAACAGATGTGTTAATCTTGGTTTAAATCCTTTGACACAAACTATCCTGACTCTTCTTAAAATTCCTGATATAGCCTACAAGCTTTTCCAGGGGAGTCCCTTCTAACTTACAGCCAGATCTGTTCATGCACCATCTAAAAATCTTATCTGCCTTCCAACTACCAAATGACAGTTCTCCAGCCACTGACAGCAGAAAGGCAGCAGTCTGTACGGGACCAATGTATTCCTGAAATGATTTAAAATACTGTGCTTCCAGACTATAAACGATGGCTGCCACACTGTAGAATGTAGGATTCAGGCCTGGGAGGCAGCAAAAGTTTCCTGTGATTAGTAACCGTAACGGTAACCAGAAGGGGAAATTATGATGCAACTGCCAAAAACTATTAGGAAAAATTTAAGTTACTCTAAGCAAAACTCTTCTTAACCAATTTAAATACCCTTAAATTTATGAGCACATGCAAATCAAAGTAATCAAATTTACTGGAATTATATTCCATGTATTTAAAAAACCTGATAAATGTGACAAATATACAAATTAATCGTCCATAATCCAACTTGTTCTTGATAAACTGTGAGAATTCTCAGGTAATGCATTCTGAATAGGACTACTTTTAATAACTAACACACACTGAGGAGATGACAATCAATGACTAAGATCAGTGGATGTTTACTAAGCATGAATTAAAACATTAGTAAATGCTTGAATTCTAGACTTAAATGCACTAATCTTTATTTTTTTTTATTTTATTTTTTTTTAAAGATTTTATTTATTTATTTGACAGGCAGAGATCACAAGTAGGCAGAGAGGCAGGCAGAGAGAGGAAGGGAAGCAGGCTCCCCGCCGTGCAGAGAGCCAGATGCGGGGCTCGATCCCAGGACCCTGGGATCATGACCCGAGCTGAAGGCAGCGGCTTAACCTACTGAGCCACCCAGGCGCCCCTAATCTTTATTTTTTAAAGCACACTGCAAAACTAAGAATCTCCTCTAAGGAGAAGTCCTACTCTGCACGTGTGACAGACAAGTGACACAGCAGGACGCAAGCACAATGCACAGAGTGACGATATCCCCACAAAACAGGAAAACTCTCATGATCCAGGTCGAAGGTAGGTGGAAAGAATAAGAGCTAACAAAGCTAAGGGAAATTGCAGAAACATTTTCAAACACCACCCTACGTTTGTACTCTTTTACAATCACTGTGATGTGTGCCTTTCTGTATTGCTTTTGTTTAAGCAATTTTCTTTTAATACATGAGCTTAATTCACAGAAACAGAGATGGTCCCCAACATGTAAAGGAGGTTTTCTGGTGGATTACATTTTACTGAGCTGGTATTTCCAGCCAGACACCCCACTTAACTTTTTTAAGCTCAATACCCTTCTGTGGGCAGGATCAATTACCAAGAGAGGAACTGAGGCTCAGTTAAGATCACCCAGGTGTGACCAACTCTTAACTGTTCTCTTGGTTTGTACCAAAAGCATGTTGGCAAGCTTTTACTTATACTTTACGAAATACTGAGCTGTATATCTGAAAAACGATACTTCGGGGTGAAGCATAGGTATCATAGTTTCTAAGTATATGAATGACATCATCTTGGAAACTAGGAGCAACTAAGTCTAAGAGTCTACTAATATTAACAGTTACTAAGTTCCACTGAGAACAAAATAAAGTTTTGAAATGAGTGTATTTTCTTCTACACACCACCCTTAAAAGACCTGAACACAAACCAAATGTTTTCTAAGCAGTATTTGACCTCTGGGTAGCATTTACTAATTTTTTTTTCCTTCTGTATTTTTCTATATATTCCTAAATGAACAGGATTGCCTTTTATAGAAAAATAAAATATTGAAAAAGACATAAATTGACTATTCCATCTTTGGCAGGAACCATCTTTAAAAACAGTTTTCTTTTTTTTTTAAGATTTTTTTTTTTTAAGATTTTATTTATTTATTTGACAGAGATCACAAGTAGGCAGAGAAGCAGGCAGAAAGAGGAGGAAGCAGGCTCCCTGCTGAGCAGAGAGCCCGATGCGGGGCTCGATCCCAGGACCCTGAGATCATGACCTGAGCTGAAGGCAGTGGCTTAAACCACTGAGCCACCCAGGCGCCCTTTAACAAACTTTCTAAAAACAAACCTATTCCACAACTAAAAATCCCCATCTACTTTGGTTATTTTATATACTTCACACACATCTTCAAAGCAAAATGGGACAACAAAGTGAAATTTGAGTCATTAACCAGGATTTTGCATTACCATTTCTGCCAACTATTCTAGAAGCAAAAGATACAGAAGAGATAAAGATCCATTTAAACCCCTAAGGGAACAGTTATATGGAGTTATTTATACTGGCCAAACGTTTACAAAATTGAAATCTTAGGAGTTTACAGCTTTTGTCCTTCTGGCCAAAATACGTTTTCCTCTCTCAGTAGTGTTGGCTCCACAGAGCCACTAGTCATCCATACAGTCTGCTCACATGCAAAGGCAAAAGCTCCTGCACGCAGGTACACTGTCATGAAATTACCACCTCTACCTGGCTGAAGTCTACTAGTACCTAAGTCTCCAGAACTTTCTATTGGCAATACTAGCAAGCAAGGAGGGAGGAGGTTAATAAAGAGTTACTTTTTCTGAATGTATCTTGTAGCCATAATGTTTTCTTGTCTTAAGAGAGTATGTGCTTAGATTTTCAGAAGGATCTGTTTATCAAGAAAAGCTCAGCTTAGATGCAGCATCTGGTTTTAAGTAACATATTGGCTGAGCTGATTGGTATAAGGTAAAGTGAACTGCCTTTGGTTCACACATGTATACTTTAACGCAGCTAAGAAACCAGAGATTTCCTGGCCTTTTATTCTACTCTAAATATTCAAAAGAAATTATTAAAGATACTCTAAAGTAGGAGCTCTCAAAGTGTGAGTAAAAGACCATCAGCATCATCAACACCTGGAAACTTTAGTTAAAAATAATGCAAAATTTGGGCCTCCCTCAGAACTACTGAGTCAGAGACTTCAGGAATGGTACCCAACAAGCCCTCCAAGTCATTCTGATGCATGAACTAATTTGAGAGTAACTGAAAAAAAAGTTTCTGCCTAAATAAGAAGTCCTTTCAAGGCTAAAAGAAGTACAGTTTTCTCCACCAACAACTTTAAAGATTTTATTTATTTGTCAGAGAGACAGAGAGAGAGAGCACAAGCAGGCAGAGTGGCAGGGAGAGGCAGAGAGAGAAAGAGAGAGAGAAGCAGGCTCCCCGCTGAGCAAGGAGCCCGATGGGATCATGACCTGAGCTGAAGGCAGCGGCTTAACCCGCTGAGCCACCCAGGCACCCCTCCACCAACAACTTTAGAAGTGATTTCAATGTAACATTTCAAGTAAGGTATACTTTTGACACAGATTTAGGGTTGGAATGCAAAATTTTGCACAACAATAAATTAAATTTAGAACTTAATATTTTCTCCTCAGAACTCTTACCCATCATTTACATATTTGTCTTAGTTGCACTTGCAGCATGGAGAGAAAACAGAAGAAGTTATGAGATGAAAACTGCATAGCACTCTGGAAAAAAATAAAGTAGGGACAGGAGCAAAAATACTGCCTCTGCCTTAAGGAAAATGTACCATGTTTCATGAACTCCCAGATGCCACTGATGTACACCAATTTATGTACTATTAATAAAGAAAAAAATCTATAGATACACTATTAAGACACCATCCATTATAAGGCCAACTCACTTCAGTTTTGTTAAGCTAGAAAAAAGTGAATCTTACAATCAATGAAATATGATATAAATGTAAACACAATGAAATCAATGCACATGGAAAACACTTCTTTTTGAATTATCATTTGCAAATTAAGAAGGGCTAGACACCCAAAGTTTGGTGGGATTTTATTCTTCTAAGACTGGCACTAAAGAGGACTTTGAAAATGGGACAGGATAAAATGACTAAAAACCACTGACTTTTAAAATATTAAGATATACTAAAGCTTTAACAGAAGTTGGGTTATTTTTTGAATACTAACCTTTGAAGTACATTCTATCCTTGGTTCTCCTTGAGGCTTTAATCCAATTATCTATGGTAAAGAAAAATTAATTGAAACATCACAAACATATATGAAAGAACCTCCTGTTTTGTTGCTGGGGACCCACGGGTGGAAGGGTTGAGAGGAATACCAACTCTGTGTATTAAAACTGTTACATCTGCCTTTTAATTTTATTTTAGAGGATTGGAACGGACTTTCCAATATAATCTTACCATCAGGTGTCTTATTACTGTACTGGGGCAATTTAGAAAAATAAATCCGTTACCAAAAAATTGAGTAAAACATAGCATTGCACTTCGCTACCCTTAAAACAAGAACCAAACAGAAAGCTTTAATACTAACAGTTAAGAACTGCAGAAGCATAAAAGTGGTTTTCATGAAACTGTATTAGTTAAAACCCTCAACATATGTTTCCATAAGGCTTCCATGGAACCTTACTATCTCACATCTGTCTGTTTAATCACATTTTAAGACCCAGCACTATTCAGTTCTATATAACAAGGCTACTTTCATGTATGCAACAGATATAACTAACTCTGCATGGCAACACACATCCATCTGTTTTGTGGGAGGAACTTTTTATGTTTTGAATTTATATGCATTTTACATGCAAATGCCTGTAAAGTAAACATTCCTCCCAAAAGAGAAGTTTTATGGCAACCTAAGTAATATGAACAGCAGTAAGGATCCTTACCCATGTGATGACTTGGGAACGAACTACACTGGGATGCAGTCCCCCGCCACACTCACCAGCACAGCTCATGAGCTTCTGTACCGAGGGTGCTAGAAAAAAGCAACAGCTGCGAAATACGTACGTACTCTGTTCATTTTCACAAGAACACAAGGATTTCCTTTGGAGTAGCCAAACTCTGGATCATCCACACCACTGCACTCCTGAAGTAAGGCAAGAGGAAACTGACATGCACCATAAACTGGACCCTTCTGTTCATTAAGTGCTCCATCGGGACAGGCTGTGAGGTTCTTCTGTTCTTCTAAATTGTATGCTGAAAAGGAAACATATATGTACACACAGATCAGCCAGAAACAGATCTTCAGCACAGCCAGAAACACATCATCCTTTGGACTACACTCTTCAATGACAAAAACAGCAATGCTGATTACCACATCATTCTGGGGAAAGAATGTTAAGTTTGTTCCTTTAACTTAATAGTTCTCATGTTTACTGCATTCAACAAGGACGCAAACTCTTTTGTCACCACTAGGTGGCGCCAGACACGGCTAAAGCTTTACCTGAATGCCTCCTACGCTCCTGGCCCGAAATATACCTGAAACTAATGTAACATTGTACGTCAACTATACTCCCATTAAAAAAAAAAAAAAAAAAAAAAAAAAAGACACAGTGGTGAGAACATGAAAAGGCACTGAGGCTGCCCTGATGGATTCTACAGTATAATGGGGAAAACAGGCATTCAGTCTAACAATCATTGCTCAAGGGTGCACAGTGCAGAGGCAGTCTATTCTGCAGGGACTGCAACAAAGCTGGGCGTCAAGAGGTGCCTGTGAGTTAACGTTAACTTAGGGTGTCTTTAGCAGAAACAGGTAACATCTTAGATAAACTCAAGTGCTAGAGTTAAATGGTCCCAACCAGGAGATGGAAAGAGAGGAGAGGGAGAGATACACAGTGGGATTTTGGCTGTTTGCTCCACAATGGCACAGTGTTAGGCAAGAGTGGCACAACAGTGAGCAAGCCTGGTGTGGTCCCTAACCTCAACGAATGTGTTTACTGAAAGAAACGCATAGTTAGGATATGCTGCAGCAGTACCTCTATGAGAACTACTGCTGTGTGGGTACAGCTGGTACCAGAAAAAGGCCACCTAAAGTGAATTCAACAAAAACAGGAACAAAAATTTCAAAGTAAATGTGTTTACAAGAAAATGTAGCTCTTTTACTTTGGAAAAAAAAAATTCAAAAAAATACTTGGTTTCATGTTTTATCAAAAATTAGGATATAATTATAATTATGTACTCACTCAAAAGAAGGATTCAAAATTTGGAAGACAGGGCTAAACTTCTACAATACAATAGGTACCACACAACATTCATCACTTCCTTTTTGACTTTGGTGGCACAATCATAAAGATCATTTTGCAAGAAATTTTCTGAGGCTTTCACCAATTTCCCCCAATGGCTTTGATTATATACACCTTTTGGTATAGGTCAGTTTATCGTGACCATTTTTGTATTCTGCCACGTTCCACTTCAATACAAAATCCCTCTAATGCAAGGAGTCGTAATGATGGATGGTCTGATTATGAAGAACCCCCTCCCTGCAAGACCAAGACATGATGGGACAAAGATCACTGATACCAGACAGCGTAACCAAAGAGCCCTACACACCTGAGAAAAGGAAAGGGAAAGGGAAGACCTGAAAGGAAAAAAGTTCATTTGAACAAAATAAAACTTTAAATTTTAAACAGTATCCACACTGGGGGAAAAAGGCCATGTATCTTTTAATCTTTTTAACATGAGAAAGGCTTTCCTAGAATTCAGCAATGACAACTGAAAGTTAAAAGGGGGGAGGGAGGTGTTGAGGTTAAAGAGTTAAAAGTAAATCCCCCAGAAAATATAATATAGTAAAACAGAAAATGAGAGAAAAACAAGAGATCCAAGACCCAACTGACAGAATAATTCTAGAAAGAACCAGAAAATTGAGCTGAGGAAATTATCAAAGTACTAACAGAAAATAATTTCCTTGAACTAGAGAACCTACTAAGCCTTCATCCTGAAAAATCCCCATCAAGTTCTCAGTAAAGTGATATTTTATTTTTTTAAAGATTTTATTTATTTGACAGAGAGAAGGCTCAGCAGTGTTTCTTAAGAACACAAGCAGGGGGATTGGGAGAGGAAGAATCATGCTTCCCGCTGGGCAGGGAAGCCCAACGTGGGGCTCTATCCCAGGACCCTGGGATCATGACCTGAGCTGAAGGTACACACTTAATAACTGAGCTACGCAGGCACCCCTAAAGTGGTATTTTAGAGACTGAAACCAAACCAAATTTTAGAACCCAAAGGAATACATTTAGAAACAATAAAAAACCAGCCCTGCAGAGGAGAAAAAGGCAAACACAAAGGAACTAATTCTATATACAACTAAACTATCACCTATAAATGCAGAATTAGGTCATTTTCAGAAATGAAAGGACTCAAAATTTACATTTCATGGCTCTTTTCTTGTGAAGTTACTTGAAATAAATATATTCCGTTAAACTAGGCAGTGAATTATGGAAAAAGAAGGCAGGAGCCAAGAAACAGTGGATCCAACTAAAGTGATAAAAAGGAGTCCCAAAATGACAGCTGGATAAAGGCCTAAACAATTACCAGTACAGACTATAGCAGGAGAGGAAAGGCTCTAAGGAGTTTTCCCAAAAAAGGGGGGACTCTAAAGGATACCTGAAATGACAGTGTACAAATAAGGGAAGTCAGAAGAGTGTCTACAGATGATAGAATAAGACGTAAAATCTAAGTATAAAAAGGTGACCAATAACAAAACTAAAAATAGTAATTAAATTATTGAAACGGGTGGGTGGGCGGGAAGGTCTGAGGCACGTGAGGTAAATCCTCATCTGCCGTGGCAGGAAGTAAAGACGATGTATAAAAGTGATAAATCAAGAACCAGAATGAAAGTATAATATTCAGAGACATAGAAAAAAAAAATTGTTAAGAAAGTTCAAAACCATGAAGTTCTTTCCCACTGAACATGTATCCAGAATCCACAACCTCCAGAACTCACAACCTCCACTGCTTCCTCTCTTGCCATGCCACCATTCTACTCCCCTACAATAGTGTAATGGCCTCCTAGCTAGCTTCCTGGTTTCCCCCCATAGTCTCAAAAAAGCAGCCTGAGTGATCCTTTAAAAATTCGAGTCAGATTATATTTCCTGCCTAAAAGCCTCCAACTAGGTCAGTGTAAAAACCAAAGAACTTTTAAAAACGGCCTCTGAAGACCTATACAACCTAGTCCTCCTTTACTTCCCTGACCTTGAGCTCCTTCAGCTATTATCCTGGCTTACTCTATCCAGGCCCCTCTAGCTTCCTTGATAAACCCTGACATTGTAGGCCTCAGGCTATTTTCCTCACCTTCAGATCCTTCCCCTCAAAGGTTCTTTTCCATGCGGCCTTCCTAGACCACCCTGTTTGAAACTGTAACCCTTCCCATCTCTGCCTCACGTTCTTCCACGGCACTCATCACGTTCCCATGCCACTCAACTACAAACTTCATGAACACATTTTTCTTGTGTTCACTGAAAGAACTTAGAAAAGTGCTTGACACAAACAAGCCCTGCCAAAAAATATGTGTTGAGTAAATTAATACAACTGCAGCTAAAAAGAAGTAGGACGGGAAACGGTTTTCATTATAGACCTTTCTTTACTGTTTGATTTTTAAACCACGGATTATATTTAGATAAAGATATCCTTAACAAACTATCAAGGGAAAGAGATTTAGAAAGACAGCCAAGTGGATGGTGTAGGATCAAGAGGTTTTTGACTTCAGATAAGAGGAAGTTGAGGACTTCTGTGTGCTGATGGGAAGGATCCAATAAAGTGAGGCTAAATATATAGGAGAAGGAATAGTAAAAAATGCGTCCAAGGCACGGAAAGAGGAAGATCCAAAAACCAGGACCGGGCAGGTGGCCTTAAATGTGAGGAAGGGCATCAAAGCAGGAGAAATATCACAGACAAAATGGCTGTAACCGTAGGTCTGTTTTACTGGTAATGGGAAAACTGGTGGAATTCCCATCTGAGTACTTCCATTATTTCTTTAAGGCGGAGGCAGGTTATATGAAGTGAGTTATAGGGGAAAAGGTAATGGGTTAGAGGTTAAGTAGAAGTTGGAAATAATCCCTTCAGAGAATTATCCAGAGAAATTCAGTGGGACTGCCAGGTAGTAGAGTTGGTCCACTTGAGCGAGGTGGTAAAGTATGCATAGTGCTGCTTAGTCCTGAAAAAAGTCTTCATCAGCCTGCTTGGAGGCAGGCTCAAAGAACAGGCTTTACCCAGGAATTATACAGTTTCATCTAGAATTACACGGGTTCATCCATGTGCATTTTATGACAGACTGACAGGTAAGGGATTTTAGAGTACTGGCAAAACTAAAAATGAAATGAAAAACCATGGAATTAATAAGCTTGGTATAAAGGGAAGTTAGGGAGAAGGGGCTGGGATAAAATAAAATAGTCAGTGAGGTGGAAGTCCCAATGAGGTAGAAGAATAGTGAGGGAAAGTTAAACAGGCGAACTCGAAGGCTGTGTCAGGAAAGCCACAATCAGTCATTTTGGCAGTGGGGTCCTATGTGTTCTAAGGAATGAATGCAGATCCCTGTGCCCTGAGGAAGAGGTGAGGTGATCAGGAACCAACAGGCCAGCACGTGGGATAATTATTCATGTGCCTGTTAATACCACGGAGTTAAGTTAAACAAGGAAAAACTGGGCTGGGATGTCTACTAGAAAGCATTACAGACTGTTAACTCCAAAACCCACAGTGGATAGGTATTTTGGTTGTTTTCTTAAATGAAAAATACCATTCCTTTTCCCCTCCACAAGTACATTGAATCCAAAAGATCCAAACACTTAAGAGTACTATTTTGTATAGTTTTCCTTTAAGTACTTTTTAATGCAGATATAAGTATGTTTTTGTCTCAACAGACTTATTCATGCACATATTATAGGATAGAAAAGTCAAATCAACCCCCATTAGGCTTAGACCCCTATGTCTTTCCATAAGTTAGAATATTCTCACAACTCATTTAAAATCTACTTGTAAGTCCTCTCAGTGGACTGTTTAACAAGAGCGGGGGAAAAAAAGGTAAAACAGACTCTAAGAAAGATGTTTCTAAAAGTAATCACTATCATATAGTTTCTCTAATAACTAAAATCTTTTACCTTACTCTAAGAAAACATACTTACGTTTTAGAAACTTCCTAAGGTCTTCAATGTACCCTTGATAGGATTCTGGATCAGACACAGTGAATGAATATTCCAATGCAGTTAGTGGTTTTGGAAAAACCATAAGTCCTATAAAGAGATAAAAGAAAAAGGGGGATATTAACTGCAGGAAATTTCCTTTTTTCTCCTTGCTCTTATACTTAAAAGGCCAGATCTCATTAAATTATATGGAAAACTGTTTTCACAGACATACTGAAATTATCAAGAACTTCTCACTTCTGATTATGAAGGCACAGACATTTAGATGAAAGAGAATGGCAAGTCTTCAAAATCATTTAACATTATCAATTAAAAACCTCCCTAAATCTGATTACCCACAGTTAATTATAATTGCTCTGTTCCTCACTTTAAAATGTGCAGATTTTAGTTTGTACTCCCCATATTTATTTTCCTATCAAATATTTTTAGGTTGTGCCAATTTGCTATTAATAGAAGAAAAATTTTAGCAAATCAAAGTCTCCCAGCTTCTGTCATTCAAATTAACAACTGTATGGAAAGAGACATAAAACTTACTCAATGAAAGAGGCCTATACAATTTTAACTCTACAGTTAAATATTCTTCCTTCAGTAATAAACACTGCTCTATAATTAAAATATTTTCACATGATGCGTCTGGAATATAACCACCACCAGTTTCCTATCAGGAGTCAAAACCCATGTATACAGAACATGCTGAATGAATTTATGGAAAGAAAATGTAAGCATATTTATCTATAAGAAAGATAATTAGGCTTCCAACTTTAATATAAGCTTTCTTTGTTTAAAAAGCATTAGATCTAGAGGCTCAGCTGGTTAAGCATCCGACTCTTGGCTCACGTCATGATCTGCCTAGCTGGGATACAGAGCCCCATGTCACGCTCTCCGCCTCAGCAGGGAGTCTGCTTCCCCTCTGCCCCTTTTCCCGCCTGTGCACACACACACACACTCTCTCTCTCTCTCAAATAAATAAATAAAATATAAATAAATCTTTTTTTTTTAAAGATTTTATTTATTTATTGGACGGAGAGAGATCACAAGTAGGCAGAGAGGCAGGCAGAGAGAGAGAGGAGGAAGCAGGCTCCCCACCAAGGAAAGAGCCCGATGTGGGGCTCGATCCCAGGACCCTGGGATCATGACCTGAGCCGAAGGCAGAGGCTTTAACCCTCTGAGCCACCCAGGCGCCCCAATATAAATAAATCTTAAACAAACAAACAAAAAAAGCAAAGCATTAGATCTAGATTATTAATTCAGCCTTGCACCCAGGCTTAAAAACAGTCCTAAAATTTTCACTAGTCTCTAAACATTTCCCATATCAGTTATTAGAGATGCTATGCCTTGCACTGAATCTGAAAATATACAAATAACAAGGGCTGTTTTAGTTTCCATTACAACTGCTGCTCACAGACATCTAATTCTTTCTTTTTTCATTTTAATTCCAGTATGGTTAATATACAGTGTTACATTTTAGATCAGATCCAGTTTACTTTATTTATTTATTTTATTTTTTTTAAAGATTTTATTTATTTATTTGACAGACAGAGATCACAAGTAGGCAGAGAGAGAGGAGGAAGCAGGCTCCCTGCCAAGCCTGTTAATACCACGACGCGGGGCTCGATCCCAGGACCCTGGGATCATGACCCGAGCCGAAGGCAGAGGCTTTTAACCCACTGAGCCACCAGGCGCCCAGATCCAGTTTACTTTAAGCTCTAAACTTGCCTGTGTTGGTTTGCACGAATCTCGAGTTAAACTAGATGCAATGCTACCCAATATGATGAAACAAGGTACCTACATGGGAGAACAAATCTCAGTCTACATTCACCATAAAAGACCTCCTAATTAAGCTTCCCATTTACCTACAGCAACACACGAGAGATCACTTAGATTTGGATAATCTCCTATGCCTGATTTTCCATCCACTGCAAAATCTCTACAAAATCTATAATAACTGAGACTTTTTGTAAAAGTATTTAGGGCACCTGGGTGGCTCAGTGGGTTAAAGCCTCTGCCTTCAGCTCAGGTCATGATCCCAGGGTCCTGGGATCGAGCCCCACATGGGGCTCTCTGTTCAGCAGGGAGCCTCCTTTCCTTCCTCTCTCTCTGCCTGCCTCTCTGCTCACTTGTGATCTCTGTCAAATAAATAAATTAAAAAAAAAAAAATCTTAAAAAAAAAAAAGTATTTAATGAAGGACTAAAATGTCTTACTGTCCAGTATATTAAATGACCATCTGTGTATGTATGAAATTGTTTTTATTTTTTAAGGTTTTACAGCAGAAACAAGATACAATATCCTGCAAGTAAAAAAGTAACAGAATGAAGGCAGCTTGCACATTAACTATATTGAAAACACCTAACTTTAAGAAAAACCCAACATAAAATATCCAGATTTCTAACTAAAGAAATTTTAAAAGAAAAACATGAAGATAGCTATGCTTTATACAAAAGACTACATTCCTTTATATGACTAATTTCTAAGGGAATGTTTTAATGATTCAATTTGCAAAAACTCCTTATTAAGATGTGGAAATATAAAACTGAATTTTTTTTAAAGATTTTTTTTGTTTTTAACGTAATCACTACACCTAACATGGGGCTTGAACTCACAACTCTGAGATCAAAAGTTGCAAGCACTATCGACTAAGTCAGCCAGGTGCCACTGAAACTGAATTCCTGATACCAGTTACTTCTCAGACCTTGCCTAACAATGCTCTTGGACCCCTAGTAACTTTTGCTATTTAACAGCCTATTTGAAATTCTTCAGTAAAAACCATGGCAGGTGTATATAGTACAGGTGTATTTTTGACACGGTATGCTTAATTCCTCCAAAGAGTCTTCCCTTATCCAAAATGAAGAACATCAACAGAATGTAAAGACTATAACAACTCCTCTATATCCTTCCAATTTAAACCACTGGAGCATCAGAGTATGGGCACACAATGTGCATGTCTGTCAGGGTGTGAGGAGCCATATGTGTTTATGCTATATGTATGTATGGGTTACATATATGTACCAATTTCAAACCAGCATTTGTTTTACTAGGTACAAACAATATTATTGAAGTGATGTCATTTAAAATTAAAACCAATATGGTCAATGCAAAAAAAACCAGTATATTAAATACTGTATGAACTGTAGAAAATACAAGTAGAAAGAAAAAAATATTAACCATAATCACTTTGTAAAGAGCAAATTTTGTTTAACAAGCTAATATATATTCATCCAATGTTATATATACATATGTATGTGTGTATATCTATGTTTATTAAATTACTTATAAGACTTTGAAGTACTACAATACAGTTGTAAATAATTTTAAGAAACTCAGTTTGAAACGGAATATGGGGGCGCCTGGGTGGCTCAGTTGGTTCAGCAACTGCCTTCGGCTCAGGTCATGATCCTAGAGTCCTGGGATCGAGTCCCGTGCCGGGCTCCCTGCTCGGCGGGGAGTCTGCTTTTCCCTCTGACCTCTCCCTTCTCATGCTCACTCTCTCATTCTCTCTCTCTCAAATAAATAAAGAGAAACTGAATATGTAACATGCTTTTATTATTCATGTAATTATAAACATTAATATTTCTGAAATAGATTGGATCATGTTCAATGGTAATAAAGTCACATTACTTAGTAGCAAGAAAAAAAATTATTTTAGAATTACTTATTCTAATAAATATTAAAATTCTAATAGAATAATTTAGAGGTGTTTGGGTGGCTTAGTTAGTTAAGCCTCTGACTTGATTTCAGCTCAGGTCATGAGTTTAGGGCCATGAGATCAAGCTCTGTGTTGGGCTCCTGACTCAACAGGGAGTCTAGTCTGCTTGAGATTTCTCTCCCTCTCTCTGTGCCCCTCTCCCCACTCACGCATGTGCCCACACTCCCTTTCTCAATAAATCAATCTTTAAAAAAAAAAAAAAATTAGCTTAGGTAGAAAGGAAACTGAGCGACAATGAGAGATGAGGGGAAAACGAGCATGGAGCTAGTCTCTGATACTTGGTCAAATAAACTAAAAAAGAGAAGAGTGATTCCTGATATTTGCACAAATATTAGGAGCAAAATAAGGAAAAGTCCTTAGAACAAAATGTTCCAAGAAAAGATGGTTGGGAAGCTGGTGCACTTTGGTTGTTGATAAGGTTCATGAATCTATGCCATGAGTAAGGATCTAAATTCAGGGTTCCTCAGCACCGGCCCTACTGACATTTTGAGCTGCGTTAAGTCTTTGTTGCGAGGGTAGGGGGACTGTCCTGCATTGTAGGATGTTTAACAACGTCCCTCACCTCTGCTCACCAGTAGCACCTCTCCAGTTGTACCAACCAAAACTGTCTCCACAAGACCCCAGGGGAGCCAATCATTGTTGGATGAGAACCAGTGCTCCAGGAAGAAACCTCCCACATCACTCCTACCTTCCCTGGCCTGCTTGCTATCCAAATCCCCCCTCTTCCATGAGGAGCCTGCCCTTCTTATTATCTGGAGAAGTTGTTCACATTTTGGGAAATTAGATATACTGGAGTTCTGCACATTGTTAGTTTCTTCTATAAAAACTGCCAGCACCTTGAGGACAAGGGCCATGTTCAACAAGAGCAAAGCTGGCATTCAAAGACTGTTGAATGAAATCAGGAGGAAGAAAATACGATTTAAAACAAGTGTTTCAAAAAAAAATCAAAACCAAAAAAACAAGTGCTTCAGTTATTTTTTCTCTGTGGTGGAGTATCCTGGAGAATTTTTTTCCTTCCAACAATCAATGGACAAGAATTAAACACAGTAAGGGTATATTCATTTTATTCCCTATTGATATCTCATTTTTCTTACAATTTCCATATTGAGCAATTAAAGATACAATAGGAAGCTTGTATTTTACAAGACCAACACTCTAGCCCAAGCTAGAGTTAAACTATATACTTTGTAAGTAAATTACTCAAGGCAAAGTGAAAATGCTACACAATATTCACAAAAGCCATTCATAACCATATTCAAAACATAGTCAAAAATGCCTTCACTATAATTCTCCATATTCATTCCTCCTTACTCCTGGCAAAGGACTCAAGATTTATCAGCTCCAGCCTTTATGTCATTATGTAAATATTAAAGGTCTTCATATCAGTATGTAAATATTAAAGGTCTTTATATCAGTATGTAAATATTAAACAAAAATCAAAATTTTCATATTACTTAGCTCCAAAGTTTAACTTTTACCTATGTAAAAAATTTACAGTGAAGATAAAGTATAACCAGATTTGTTTTTTTAAAAGATTAATTTGAGAGACAGCATGTATGCAATGCTTGAGGCTATGAGCAGGGGGAGGAACAAAGGAAGGAGAGAAGCAGACTCCCCACTCAATGGGGAGCCCATCACAGGGCTTGATCTCAAGACCTCGGGATCATGACCTGAACTGAGCCAAAACCAAGAGGAAGACCCTTAACCAACTGAGCCATCTGCGCACCCCAAAGTATGATGAAATTTATTTAAAAGCCACAGTAACTGCGATATAATTACCTGGACTAGGAATCTGGTCACGATATTTTGGAACTTCATCGTTCAGAGTCTGAAGCATAGCCCACATTGTGAATGAGAAGAGGGCAGCCAGAAATCCATAAAAGACTAGGTAGAAGAGCAAGATCAAACCTGGAAAAGAAAATAAAATTTAGGACTAACTGGAGATACACACATATGTTATGGGAAGTGTGTGGGGCAGATTAAAGAAACAAACCAACTGTTTACAAGGCTAGGATTCCAAGCTTTGCCATGCACACAGCCAAAAATCTCCATATACAGAACACTACAAAGTTGCCCAAGCAAAGGGTATTTCAGCAGGCAGCACCCACCCTTCCTAGAACCCATTATCTCCACCAACACTTCCAACTACGGATAGCTTCCATGGTCATACTCTGGTTCAAGGTCAGAGCTTTAAAACTTCAGCACATAAGGGAATGTTTCCCAAAATGAACTTGATGTCCTCCAGTGAGACAAAAGATGATTTCAGGTGGAGTAAAACCCTCATATGCACATGTTCCTTTAAGCGGCAAACAGAAAGGAATTAGTACCTCAAGCCCGTATTTCACAATATTTACATAAATTTAAGTTTTATACAGTGACTGGACTTAAAGAACAGCCAGGAAATGTGCACAGAAGGCAAAACAGGAAGATGGTATTCAATGAATAATGTTTAGGAAACACTAGTCAAGTAGAAGGCTCATGCAAAAGCAAAGGAAGGACAAGGACCAGAAACAAGTGCCCTGACCAATGGGACTACTGACTCTACAGCTAAGCATAAAGCAAGAGTTGGCAGACCCAAGTTTCAACATCAAGGGCTTAGTCTTTTTTATTCCCAAACTGGAAACACTAAAACAAATCTATCCTAAGCCAGTGACTTATTTGGGGAATATCTAAAATCATTTTTCTCAAAAATCTACATTCAAAGTTGTAACAGAAGTAGTCACCATCAAGATTATTTATCAGAATATATTGTTAAAGTCACACATTTATATTTAAATGTTTCAAAAATTGATCAAAAGATAACAAATCCCCAGATACAGCAATAGTGAAAACATTTAATTCCCTGGGGTTGAATTAACATCAGCTTTATCTCCCAGTCTTAGTAACATACTTGTTTGCCTGACCCTAGTACCAGCAGAGGGGCCTGGTGCATAGGTTCCTATCTATAATCTGTGGACTCTCACCACCCCCAGGCAAGGATTAACTTCAAAGTTTTTGAGATTTCTAGTATAATTTGTTTCTAAGTATATCCATTTTCTACCCCCTGGAGAATCACTCTACAATGTTTTTCTGATTTTCAAAAGACCCCATGACCCCCAAACAGATTGTGCCAAAAGCTGGGTAACTTTTATTTCTTCAATTTGGGTAGGAAACTGCCCACCCCTCCTCCCAAATAAAGGGGAAATAATTAAAGCAATTTCATTTTAATTTAGACTAGCATCCACCCATCCTCCCTTCCCCCAGTTACCAGGAAGCCAAAATAGGGAACGAGAGGACAGAAGGAAGAAAGGACAGCATGTCACCTTCAGATAGCATCACTTCCCTACCACATACAGCGATCCTGTTGCAGAAAAAGAAAAGGAAGACCAATCTCAAAGAAGTGCTCAATTTACTATAGAGGGAAATGAAACACAAGCAAAGCCCAAAGGCTATTTTAATGACACACAGGAGAAATGATTCTTACAGATCTAGATGTTTATAGGACCTAATAGATAAAATCCTCCATTCAACAGGCTAGGGTCGACAAATACATAAATGTAACAAGTGTCGGCTGTGTTCCACACTCTATAAAAACTCTAGAGAAATAGGCAGATTGAGGCCACAGCAGTTTGTTGACTGATGCAGTAGGTAAGTTCAAAACAAAAGTGCTGACAGTTTAATTTAGTTGTGTTTTTAAGTCATCCCAAAATAGTAATATACTATTTTCAAAATCTGGTTTTCAGTTTCCGGGAAAAAGAACATAAATGAAATTTACAAAAAGTTACAAAATGAATAAACATAAAACAGACATGAACAAGCTATATCTAAATATGCTTTCTAAAGAACCATTACACAACAAAAAACTGTTAAAACTTCCTATGAAGTATGTTCCCAAAAGAGATACACAAATTGGGATGCCTACCAACTGAGCATCTGACTCTTGGTTTCAGCTCAGGTCATGAACTCAGGGTCAGGAGATTGAGCCCCATGACAGGCTCTGAACCCAGTGTGGAGTCCGTTTGGAATTCTCTGTCTCTTCCTCACCCTCTGCCCCTACTAAAATAAATAAATAAAATCTTTAAAAAAAAAAGATACACAAATTATAACTGTGCCCCAAATCTGATGCCATATACTAGTGGCCATCAAGTCAATTTTGAATGTAAGGCGTGTAAAAATAAGAACAGAAGTGATTTTAGCACTGAGTTTTCTCTACTTGAAAATGTTCCTTTTGCTAAGACCCAAACCTAATATTTAAAATTAATCTTACTTATTAATATCTTATATGAAGGATCACTCATAAGGGTAGCAACAATTTATCAACTTTTACCTCCTTTCTCCTACTAAGAAAAAAAATACTAGAAAAACAGCAGTTGTAAATTACTGCTCTTATATACAGTTCCTCAGATTCAGTTTACAGACAGGCCTAACACACTGATGCAGATCAAATTGGGGGCACACCCCAGGTTAGTAGTGGATGGTGCAGATGGAAGCTGTTCGGTGTGTCATGTCTGAATCAGTTCTAGTTAATGCAAGCAGGAAACATCAAATGAAGCCAAAATAGTGCTTTTTATATTACTGATGTTCCCCAGGTTAAAATCCTTCAAGAATTTCCTTAAGTCAGGGACACCTGGGAGGCTCAGTTGTTAAGTGTCTGCCTTCAGCTCAGGTCATGATCCCAGGATCTTGGGATTGAGTCCTGCATCAGGCTCCTTGTTCAGCAGAGAGACTACTTCTCCCTCTGCCAGCAGCTCCTCCTGCTTGTGCTCTCTCTTGCTAACAAAATCTTAAAAATAAATAAATAAATAAAATAAATTTTTTTTTCCCTTAAGTCATTAACCAACTAAAGAAACTAACATGCACTAAACTCTGAAGAAACATGAGCATTTTAAATAGTATGAGGTCAGAAGAATTATAACTAAAGATATTTATTCAAAATAAGTATCAAAAAGCTTAATGTTGTAATTGGTGTCTTTTTTTTTTTTTTTAAAGATTTTATTTATTTGACACAGAGAGAGAGAGCGAGCGAGCGAGCACAAGCAGGGGGAGTGGCAGGGAGAGGGAGAAGCATGCTCTCTGCTGAGCAAGGAGCCTGATGTGGGGCTCAATCCTAGGACCTGGGGATCATGACCTGAGCCGAAGGCAGATGCTTAACCAACTGAGCCACCCAGACACTCCTGGTGTTTTTGTATTATCATTGTTCTAATAGTATATACAGAAGCACAATGCTACTTCTATACTTACATTCTGAGATCTAAGGACACATTATAGAACTATCGTATAACTAAAAACTTCTAGCTTTCTCTAACACAGGCACATGAACGGACTCTGTTACTGACTCTCTATGTTACTGCTACTCTCTCTTCACTTCTGTTCCTTGAGAAGCCCCAACTTTAAATTCCTTTCTTCTCTCTCACTGTATTTTGGCTGAGGGAAGGGATAGTAGGACAGATCCAGCAGGAGGCCATGGAGCAGGGTGGGTATATGCATGGGCTTTGCTGGAGTCAGACTTAGACTCAAATCCTGGCCTGACCACTTTCCCACTGTGACCTTGGGAAAGTATCCAAGCCCATCTGAAAAAAAAAAAGGGGGGGGATAAGAGTAATATCTACTTATTCACATTATAGAAAGGCAACTAAAAGTCAAGAAATTTGACAACATAAAAACAAGCTTCAGGGTGTAAAAAAGACCAACAACAAAAGTAGGAACATTTTTGTAATGATACTGCAACTAGGTTTTAACACTAAATTTAAGCTTTAAATCTTAACCTAATCAGTTGCACTTTGCTCTCAAAAAATGTTTTCACAAATGAGGTTTGTTAATGTGGAGTCTATAAAAGAACTAAGCAGCAAAAAATCTGGCCAAGGTTTATTCTCTGTCATTCAGGGAAGGAGAAAAGGGTCCTAAGCACCCACTTTGTTTTAACCCCAACTGAGTGTCCAACAATCCAGTCCTGGCACCAACCGCCCAGTGCAGCGCAGGGTCCACTAGCTCAGGGCATGGCCCGCACTCCAGACACTGCCTGAACTTCTAAACCAACTGGCTACCAATCTGGGACCACCCATTGCTCCTTTAGGTTTGAGAATCTGATAGAATAACTTAACTCAGAAAGGGCTATACTTAAGATTACAGTTTTGTTATAAACGAGACACAGCGTGGAGTCTGGGAGGGAATGCAGTTTTTTAAGCCCTATCCTCATGCAATGAGGGAACATCACCTTCTCAGCATATGGGCGTGTTTCCCAACCTAAAACCTCCGTTAAGTTCCAGTGTCTAAAGTTTTTACTGGAGTTTCATTACATGGGTATGATTAAAATCATTGGCTGTGTGATTAAACCCTGTCTCCAGCGCCCTCCTCTTCCCTCCCTAAAGGTCAGGTTAGCTCAAAGTCCCAGTCCTCTAATCATATGACTGGTCTAAGGACCAGCCCCCAGGGAAGCTACTGAAGGGCCCACCATACATAGGTCACTCCATTAGCATAATATAGATACTCCATCAGGAAATTTCCAATGGTATTTAGAAACTCTGTGCCAGGCACCCAGGACAAAGACCATACAGATTCTTTATTATATAATACCAGAAACATAATCTGGACACATGGGGAGTTACTAGGCTTCATCAAGGCCTGAACATACATTCCCACTCAACACACCTTAACACCCTGTGATCTTATTCCCAGACTTCTGTGAACTTCCCAGTTACTTAATGGTACCTAGATACTAAAAGACTGTGCCTCTCCTCAGAATTCTGAAGATCAGAAACTGCATTCCATTGGTAAATAAATTAGCATTCTGTTCACAGTTTAAAAAATTTTAGAGACAGCTCTAGTTAAGAAAAAACAAAAACAGCAATCCTATGGACAAATTTAAAATCCTTTATATATTTGTATTTTTTATTTTATTTTTTAATATATATGTATTTTTAAAATTAACT